TTGTCTCATTTGACTTTCACAAAATTGTAATGGAAATTGTAGATATTATGGATACTAGATATTTTTACACTTCAGTTTGCTGGAAGTAAGTGAACATGAATTGGTGTATCAAATAAAATATTACAAAGCTATGTCTCAATCTTAAATGTTTTGCTTTCCTCAGTTCATTTTCCTCTACAAATTATGCATTTCTTTTTAGCTCCACTTCCTCTGAGGAAGAACTATTTTAATAACAGCACTGTTCACCTGGCTCCTTAGAAGAAAAACGTATATGGAACAGTAGGATATTCTGAACGATAAGAATTTTCCTGCTGGACTGACTTGTTTACTGAAAATAGGACAGTTTGTACTCCAGGCTCTTCATAGGCAAGATTTTGTATTCCAGGGGGGAGGACAGAGTGAGCTGTTGGGTTTACTGGAGTTGGATACCATTTTAACATTTAAATGATATTTTACATAGGTACTGGAACAGAGTTTTGCCATTAAGTATAATTTTATTCCCTTTTGCCACATTCCAAGGTCCACAATTTTGCCTCTGTGGGCTTCAACCTTGACATTTTCTTCTATGCTATCTTACATTCATTCATTCATTTATTTATTATTTATTTATTTATTTGACAGAGAGAGAAACAGCGAGAGAGGGAACACAAGCAGGGGGAGTGGGAGAGGGAGAAGCAGACTCCCCACTGAGCAGGGAGCCCGATGCGGGGCTCGATCCAAGGACCCTGGGATCATGACCTGAGCCGAAGGCAGACGCTTAACGACTGAGCCACCCAGGTGCCCCTATCTTACTTTCCACTAAGTCTCTCTTCAGGTGTATGTAAATTGCTGGTACTTCATCCTTGGAGTTCTTAATTTTGCTGATATATTCAGTCATGTTTTCCATTTGTTCCTTTTAACTTTTTATATAAATGCAACAAGCATACAGAAAAATGAACATATTATAAAACAGCTCACTGAACTGTTATAAAGTTAATGCACCCACATAATCAGCACCAGATCAAGAAACAGAAAATTGCCAGCACCTGAAGTTCCATTTGTGCTCCCTCTGGTCACTATCCTCAAAAGATAAAAGCATGAATGAGTTTCACCTAGTTTGTATTTTCTTTTTTTAAAATTTTTATTATTTATTAATTTTTTAAATTTAAATTCAATGAATTAACATATAAAGTATTATTTGTTTCAGGAGGTCTGTGATTCATCAGTCTTATATAATACCCACTGCTCATTACAACACATACCCTCTCCAATGTCCATCACCCAGTTACCCCACATCCCACCCCTCTCCCCTCCAGCAACCCTAAGTTTCCTAAAATTAAGAGTCTCTTATGGTTTGTCTCCCTCTCTGATTTCATCTTGTTTCATTTTTTCCTCTCTTCCCCTATGATCCTCTGCCTTGTTTCTTAAATTCCACATATCAGTGAGATCATAAATGCCAACATCTGTCATTTCCTGACTTGTTAATTTTAGCCATTCTGACTGGTGTGAGGTGGTATCTCATTGTGGTTTTGATTGGTATTTCCCTGATGCCGAGTGATGTGGAGCACTTTATCATATGTCTGTTGGCCATTTGTGTGTCTTCTCTGCAGAAATGTCTGTTCATGTCTTCTGCCCATTTCTTGATTGGATTATTTGTTCTTTGGATGTTGAGTTTAATAAGTTCTTTATAGATTTTGGACACTAACCCTTTATCTGATACATCATTTACAAATATCTTCTTCTCCCATTCTGTCGGTTGTCTTTTGGTTTTGTTGACTACTTCCTTTGCTGTTCAAGAGCTTTTTATCTTGATGAAGTCCCAATAGTTCATTTTTGCCTTTGTTTCCCTTGCCTTTGGAGACGTGTCTAGCAAGAAGCTGCTGTGACCAAGGTCGAAGAGGTTGCTGCTTGTGTTCTCCTCAAGGATTTTGATGGATTCCTGTCTCACATTTAGGTCTTTCATCCATTTTGAGTATACTTTTGTGTATGGTGTAAGGAAATGGTCCAGTTTCATTCTTCTGCATGTGGCTAGTTTGTATTTTCTTTAATTAGAATTGCACAACATGTATTTCTGTGTATCTGGGTTTCCAAGCAACACTGTAAGTCAGTCTCTGGTTGTTTTTGTTTGTTTGTTTGTTTGTTTTGATTCTCCTTCTGTTATTACCCCACAATATCCATTCTATTGTTGATGGATATCTGAGTAGTTCCCAATTTAGGGCTATTATAAATAGTAATGCATTGGCCATTCTAGCAAGCACCTTTTTGGTAAAAGTATATATGCATTTCTATTTGAGATATATACCTATATATACACATGGGACATAGGGAATGCATATTCTCAGTATTAGTAGATAGTGGAAACACTCTTCCAAAGTGGTTATATCAACTTACACTCCACAAGTGTAAGTTGCTTTACATCTTCACTGGCATTCCCCTACCTGTATTTTATATATATTCATGTTATCAACTCTGGTTGGGATGTACTAGTATCTCACTGTGCTTTTAATTTGCATTTTCCTGATGACTAACCAAATTGAACATCCTTATTCTAGTTACACATCTATATTATTATTATCATTAATTATAGGTTAGTTAAATCTATATTAGCTATTTGAATATCTTCCTTTGTGAATGGTTCATTTTCTTTTGCATTGCCTGTACTTTTCCTATTAACTTGTAGGGGTATGTAATATATTCCATGTACAAGTCCTTTGCCAGATATATAAATTGAAAATTCCTCTTTCCATTATATGGGCTGCTCTTTTATTCTACTAATGTTGTCTTTTATATATATATATATACTTCTTACCTTAGCACAGTATATTCTCCACGATTATTTTTGTGTTCTGTTTAAGAAATTTTTGCCTATTCCAAATTCATGAAGATGATCTCTTATGGTTTCTTCTTCAATTGTTTAAGTTTTCACATTTATCTTTCATTTGTTTGGAAAGAAGTTATATGTAGGACATTATATGGCAATTTAGATATATTTCACTTCCACATAAAATTCCTAAGGGACAGAGATAAACACACGACCTAGCAGACCCAGGTTTATGGCTAGGAATGCTCTCAGAAAAAGGGAATGACATCACCAAGTTGACTTGGCTCAGGTCCACATACAGACAGGAATGTAAAAGTGGTAAAACTGCTGTGATCCCAAAGCCAGATGGCACAAAATAGTAGCCTGTTGTCCAAAAGAGCATTAGGCAAACTAGCAGCCATTTGGTAGAACCCAAGGGTAATAGGTAGAGGCTTTTGTAGGGGCACACAAGTCCCTTATGTGTGCAAAGGGGAGGTGTTTCTCAGCAGCGGCCTTGGCCTAAGCAGCATCCTAAAGCCTCCAAAAACATATGCTGCCTGGAGATACCTGAACTGGCTTCATCCTCTACTGAAATCTGACTGATGCTCTCTGCCATCTAGGAGTACTGATAACACATATCCTCAAACCCCAGAAAATGAAACTAAAGAAACACTGTTTTATAAGATAGGAAAAGACAACGAATGGTGATTTTCAGAGTCCAACCAATGATAATAACCTTGTCTTTTATGACTTGGTTTTGATTTTCTTTCAGAATAAAGACCAGATTTACCAATGGTGAACTAAAAAGGGCACTTTTGCTAAAAGGGATAAAAGTTGATACTGTAATGTTTTATGTGTCAACACTGCTATTTGCTGTAAAGTTCCCTATGATCTCCAGGATAGAGATGGTAGGAACTGTAAAAACTAGTTGGCCAAAAGTATACTTCTAGTGTGGTGGTGAAATGGAGCAGGTCAATACCCAGTCCTGGTCAAATAGCAGATTTGTTAGCAAAATAAATGTTTTTTAACCTGTAGGTTTTAAAGTAATATTATGCAGCAGCAGATAACAAATACTCTAGCATAAGATGACATGCCCTTTCCTCCATTCCAGAGGAGTCTATTATTGTATGAAGCATGAATTCGGTTCTTAAGTTCAGATACTTATGTATTTTTAAAATTGGGGTAAAATACACAACATAAAATTTACTATCTTAACCATTTTTAAGGGTGCAGTTCAGGGTCACCAAGTACATTCACATTGTTGTGCAACTATCAGCACCATCCACCTCCAGAACTGTTTTCATCTTGCAAAACTGAGACTCTATACCCATTTAGCAGGAACTCCCCATTGTCCCCCCATCACCACCCCATCACTGGCACCCACTATGCACACAGTCTTTTTATGACTGGCTTATTTCACTTAGCATAATGTTTTCAAGACGTATCCATTTTGTGGCATGTATTAGAATTTCCTTCCTTAAGGCTGAATAATATTCCATAGTATATATACACCACATTTCATTTATCCATCCATCCATTGAGGGACACCTGGGTTGCTTCCATCCTTTAGCTATTATGAATAATGCTGCTCTAAACATGGATGTACAAATATCTCTCTTAGTCCCTGCTTTCAGTTCTTTTGGGTATATACTCAGAAATACAATTGCTGCATCTTATGGTAATTCTATTTTTAATATTTTGAGGACAGCCATACTACTTTCCTTAGCAACTGCACATCACCTTCCTACACACAGTGCACAAGACTTCCAATTTCTCCACATCTTCACTTGTTATTTTGTTTTTTTTTTAAAGTAGCCTCCTAATGGGTGTTAGGTGGTTGAGACAGTTGTATTTTTAATTACTGTAAACTTTTCTCCATCAACAAAATGAAAAGGGAACCAACAGAATGGGAGAAAATAATTGCAACTCGTGTATCTGATAAAGAACTCATACAACTCAATAGCATAAGAAACAAACAAACAATCTAATTTAAAAAATGGGGAGAAGAATTGAATACTTTTTCCAAAGAAGAAATCTAAATGGCCAACATTAGGTTATTACACGCAGAATGCGAAACATGCACAGAGACGAAGAACTGTCTTCATCAAAGTACTGCAAGAGACTCACAGACACTCTTGCCTGAACACAACTCCGCTACACAGACAATCCCACCCATATCCCATGTGGCCCCCGAGACAGACACAATCACCTAGATTTTGAAACCTGGGATAAACGTACATACGCCCAGAAATAACGAACCCTAACTGACCTCCAAGAGACACCACACAGCCCAGACCCTCTGCACCCTTCCCCTACTTTCTTTTTCCCTTTAGAACTTACCACCGTTCCATACACCTGGTATTTCACGTAGGTGTCCTTAGAATTTCAGCTCCAAGTGGGAAGAGATAATCCCTCTGTCTCAATCACTTTGAAATCAACAGCACTCAGTTCAAAGCCTAAATGCTTACTGAAAGGTCAGGTTCACGCAGACACACACACTTTCCCCGGGGGGCTTTTACAATTTATCCCAACACGCAGGGGCTCACATCCACTGGATCTGCCCGGAGTGAAGGGTTATGTTCCCCATGCCAAATAGAACAGGGTTCCGCTGGTCCCCAAGGGAATTCCCAAAGGATCCTTCGGCTGACCTGCTGGAAAAAGGCGATCACACTGCAGAACCCTCACAGTGCACAAAGCCCGCCTGCACCCACCCTAGCTGGTCTCCACGACCTGTGGCGGGGGGTGGTGTCGTCAGCCTCTGGTACCCAAGAGCCTGCGACCCCGACACTCAAGAGCCGACAACCTCCAGGGCCTCGCTGTGCTGTAGATTTCTGCGAGGCCTTCCACGCTGCATGTTGGGAACTCTGAGGAGGCTCTTACTCTAAACTACATTTCCGCCAAGGACGTGGGATCCGCGGTGGCTCGCGGTCGGGAAGTGACTCCGGTGTGCAGCGAGAAGGGTTCTGCAGATTCGACCGGAGCCGTTGAGGTGTTTGGAACCGAGGAAGCCCGCGGCGTTGACAGCGCATGCACGACGCTGCCCGCCTAGTACGTGGGAACAGTGGGTGTGAGTGGGTGCGCATGCGCATGGCTGTGGGCGCCGCGCTCTCCCGAGTACATCGCACACGTGGTGGGTGTCGAGGCTGTGATCGATTCGAAGTCGAGGTTGCCTGGCTGGTAGTAGTGTGCTGAGTTCACTGGGGAGCCGTTGCTCTGGACAATGAATGTGAGTCACCGTGTCACACTTTCCCCGGACTCTCATTGCAGCCATGTGGAATTTCTGCGGGGCGGTGAATGGTGGAGCACGTCCAGTGTCCATCAGTAGCGAAGATTTGCCGCAGTGCGGATCAGAGTTGGGTTTGACCCCGAGTTGTCAGGTAGCCTGAACTGAGTTGCAGATGGCCTCAGGACAGGACTGAACGTGTATGCCCACCCCGCCCCCACCCCGAGGATCCCCTTGAGAATGCTCTGGAATTACTTTTAAATCTTAAGCCACAGCATTCCCAGAGTTCTGGCCCCAGGAACATGGTGTAAACCTAGAGACACATTGCTGGTTCCCTCTCACTTCCCTCAGGTAATGTGACTGAGGTGTGGACAGCTGTGACCCTGCAGTGTTTGCTAACTTCACATGAGTTCCAAGAAAGGCCTGATGGGTCACAAGTCTCTAGGAGGTGGAAAGCACTATTGTTACTCACCTAAAAATCAAGGTGTGGATGAGTTTAATTTCCCTTTAGTTCATAAGGTATTTTTGTTTCTTTGTTTTCTAATAATTTATTTTTAAGAGTGAAACTGGCCATTGTAAGTATACTTCTGTGAGTTGTCAAATTCATACTTGTACTACCATAGTCAAAATACAGAACACTCCATCCTCCCAAGAAAACAACCTCTTAGTGGCCATTTGTAGACAAACTCCCCCCACGCTTAATCTATTCTAGTTCCTTATACCTTTACTTTTCCCAGAATGTCATAAAAACGTAGTCTCTTGAATACTGTCTTTATTTTTTAAAAGATTTTATTTATTTTGAGAGGGAGAGAGGAGCAGGGGGAGGGACAGAGGGAGAGGGAGAAACAGACTCCTCCCCGAGCAGGGAGCCCAAGGTGGGGCTTGATCCCAGGACTCTGGGATCATGACCTGAGACAAGCCAGATGCTTAACCAACTGAGTTACCTAGGTGCCCCTTGAATACTGTGTTTAAAATTTAATGTTACATCTTGAAAATTGTGTAATTATACTTGTCCTCCAAAATTGTTGTGAGATTTCAAATTTCCAACAGTGCCCAGTACAGGTGATGGCACACATTAGGCCCTCAAAATAGAGAGGCTCCATTATCTTATGCACTATTATTGGGTGCATAAGCTTACACAGGACCCTGCTTCCATGCCTAACTTCTGTCACTTGTACAATTGGAAGGAGGTTGAGAGAAGTGATCAAATGAAGTAATAAGGATCATGAAATAACACTAATCTCTGCTGTGCTGTGAAAACAAGAGTAAACATGGAGAAACCGATGAAGACCAGACTTCATTTGCTTTTTAATTAAACACAATACTGTTTTTCTTTCCTAATATGTATTGGAAGTCTAAGCATGTGGAAAGAATACCTGTAACAAGCCAAATGGACATTTTGGGCTTTGTGGATTATTAAAACAAAAGCTTACACATTCTCCTGCTATAAATAGTTATTAAAATTTTCCCTAGGGGCACCTGGGTGGCTCAGTCAGTTAAGCGTCTGCCTTCGGCTCAGATCATGAGCTCAGCAACCTGGGATGGAGCCCTTCATCAGGCTCCCTGCTCAGCGGGGAGTCTACTTCCTCCTCCCCCTGCTCTTGGCCTATGGGCTCTCTCTCCCCCTCTCAAATAAATAAATAAAATCTTTAAAAAATTTCCCTATGTGAGGTTGTCTAATAAATTGGGATGTCACACAAAAGAATGTCCATAGTCTGCACTTACTTCACTTATTCCTTGGGTAGTTCTCCCTTTTACCACCCATACCTCTCTTTGCTTTTATTAGGAAATCATAGTCGACTTGCATAGATATTGTTCTGCTCATCGAGGGGTTAGAACTGTGTGAATAATCGGGGTGCCTGGGTGGCTCAGTCATTGTCTGCCTTTGGCTCAGGTCATGATCCCAGGGTTCTGGGATCCAAGCCTGCATCGGACTCCCTACTTGGCAGGAAGCCTGCTTTTCCCTCTCCCACTCCCCCTGCTTGTGTTCCCTCTCTTGCTGTGACTCTCTCTGTCAAATAAATAAATAAAAATCTTAAAAAATATATGTGTGGATAACCATAAAGCTTTCTATCACTTCTTGGCCTTTTGGCTAAGATCAAGTGTAGTATCTGTTCTTATCAGCTTAATATCTGATATGTGCTCTGAGGACAATATATTAAGTTGGATTTTTGGAACAGGGAGATGGAATAGGAGCTTGCTCCTTCCACTCCACGTATCGACCTGGTATTGCAGTACTTCTAGGAAGTAGAAGTAGTAGTAGGTGCATCCCAGCCTAATTAAAGGTTCAAAAAAGAGAGAGAGAGAAAGAGAAAAAAGAGGAAGGAAGGGAGGGAGAGAGGGAGGAAGGAAGGAAAGAAAGGAAAAGAAAGAAAAGAAACACCACCATAAAGTTTCCTTAAACTATGAGGAACTCTGGCTTTCTGCAGAACAAATCTTGGTCAATGGGTAGGAGCCCCAAAATGATAATGCCAAATACATGGGGACATTTCAAATTATTTCACGAGGATGTTAAATACAAACACCTAAACAATGTGCTCCAAATTCATATGAATGGTCTGATCCCAAATATCCATGTCCAGTCTCATAAACATATATGACATGCCCTAAAATTTTAACCATTGCAAAAATGTGGCTGAACTATATCTTCACTTTTATGGGAAATAATACTGTTAATTCCATGAGTGGAGGAATGTTTCTGTATCACCACCCACTATTCACTAACACTTTTGAACGGTTCCAGAAAGTATCTAAGGCATCCGTGAATGGATGATATCCTCATTCACTGAGGCCTTTTTCATTCTTCATCCCCTTTTATCTCTCTTGTCATAGTTTATATTTTACTTCACTCACTTTTATATTATCCAACGAAGTTTAAAATATTTTCTCATCAGAATCTTTTTATATCATTTGAGGGACTTATTTACTACTTAATTAAATTGCTAAAACTATTGTTTTTACTATTATGAATAAGAAGTTATATTGACAAAATTGTAACAATATACAAAATAAAGTTTACTAGCATTAAAAATGCCTCAATTTGTATGCACCTGGTAATATTGCCTCAGAATGTATAATTCTTAAATTCACAGTTACAAAGTTGATTTGACAGCTCAAAGTTGCAATATTATAATATCTTTTTAGTAAATTAAATAGATTGACATTTATTAGTATACATTTGAAAACACAGTTAATAGGATATTTCTCAGAAACATTTTATACATTTATAAAGTACATAACTCATATGAAAACAGTTAATGGAATATTTCTCAGAAACACAGCACTTGTTCAACCAAAAATATATACACTCACATACTCAATCTTAATAACAACATATCCTGAGGGATTGTATTCAGTGCTGAATAACAGAATACCCACACAGTCTGCCCAATATGTCGGTAATGCTTATTTATTTCACAGAAATACTGACAGCAGGTGCTCAATGATGCTGCAGGGAAACAGTCCCATATGTTATGGATGCACCATTGCCTCTGTTCTAGTGGAATTAGAAACACAGAAGCATGAGAAATAATAAGAGAATGAGGTGTTCACCATACAAATCAGATGTTATTTGAGTATGTTAAGATCTAGAGAAAAGGGGTCGGAGCACTAGATAATATCAACAGCCATGACATCCTAATCAGTGGCCTGGTGGACGGTAGAGGGCTTTCAGGAAAATGTAAGCTGTGGACATGTAACCATGGAGGTACATCCATGATGGGAAAGCTGGTAGGATGTCTGTGAAAGCCCACCCCTCTGAGAAAATGGAAGTCATGCAGCTGGTATTTGTTTTGAGGATACTTTTGATCGGCAAGACTAGCAATCAGGAAAATAAGCTGGAGATGGTGCCCACAAAGTCCCTATGCATCTATCTCCTTATATAGATGGGTGGCTCAATAAACTGAAAATTGCTTCTTCTAGATCTCTCGCAAGCTGGGCTCTTACAGAATTCTATCATGGAACCATATAGAGAAGGCATCCTGGGAAATGTAGTTCTTAGCCTTACCTATGTTGGTAGAACACAATCCAACAGAACCATCTCCACCTCTAGATTTCATTCTCTCTTTTTAATTCAAATGTCCACTTCCTAACCAGAAGCCAGGACAAAGAGCCTAGAGCAACAAATGGAAATGATAGTTCATATGAAACTATACTCTTTCAAGACCATTGCATACCTACAAATTTCTGCCAACTTACATACTTACAAAACTGCAAGTGAGCAAAATGGAATAATGAAACTCTGGCCAAAAAAAAGATGTTAAGAATACATACCTTATGTAAGCAAAGAAGTGCCAACTCTAAAAGTCGTAGGTTCTCTCAGGAAGCTAACAAGATGGACTATGTGTAATGGGAAAGTGATACTCAGTTTGGAACACACTGGGCCAGTAAGAAAATCTAAACTAATACCAATGTTACATTAGTCTAAAGTCCCCATACTTATAAAAAACTATATAAAATTAAACCTGATGCATATTCAAAACACACATCAAATCACCCATGGCTGTATCACACTTCAAAATGGAAACAGAAATATTACCTGAATTCATAAGGGAAAAAAACCCATATCAAAATTCATGTACTATATATATGTACTTAGAATACTTGAGAATTTTCATGTCGATGTTTAGTTGAAAAAGATATGGAAATTCACTGGCTAGAAGTCCCATTAAGGATGAGATACTGAGCAATACCATCTTTGTAACTTATGTAAGATTTCTCTTCTGGTGTGGATTTTCCAAACTGTTTTAGATGAGTTAATTTGCATCAGGTTTTCTCACATTACTTATATTTATAAGTTTTCTTTTGACTATGAGTTCTCACATGACTATGTAAGGATTTGGGACAACTGAAAGTTTTCCCACATTTTTCACATGTATGAGGTTTCTCTCTAGTCTGCATCCTTATTGTTTTGTAAGGATGAGCGCCATTTGAAGGCTTTCCCGCATTGCTTACAATTACAGGCTTCTCTCCACTGTGTTTTTTGACATGTTTGTGTAAGGATGAGGACCAACCGAATGCTTTCCCACATTTTTCACACTTATAAGATTTTTCTCTAGTCTGCATTCTTACATTTTTGGAAGGATGAGGGCCAACTGAAAGTTTTCCCACATTGCTTGCATTTATGGGTTTCTCTCCAGTGTGCTTTCTGTTATGTTTGTGTAAGGATGAAGACCAACCAAATGTTTTCCCACACTTTTCACACTTATAGGGTTTCTCTCCAGTCTGCATTCTTACATTTTTGGAAGGATGAGGGCCAACTGAAAGTTTTCCCACATTGCTTACATTTATGGGTTTCTCTTCAGTGTGCATTCTGACATGTTTATGTAAGGATGAGGGCCAACCAAATGCTTTCCCACATTTTTCACATTTATAGGGTTTCTCTCCATTGTGAATTCTCACATGTCTCTGAAAGGATGTGAGCCAACAGTAGGCTTTCCCACACTGCTTACATTCATAAGGTTTCTCTCCAGTGTGCATTATCATATGTACTCGAAAGGATTTGGGACAGCTAAAGCCTTTTCCACACTGCTTACATTCATAGGGTTTCCCACCATTATGCATCATCACATGTACTCGAAAGGATTTAGGACAACTGAAGGCTTTCCCACATTGCTTACACTCATAGGGTTTCTCTCCAGTGTGACTCCTTATATGTCCAGTGAGGGAATGGGAACGAATAAATGTTTTCCCACAAAGTTTACATGCATAGGGTTTCTCTCCACTGTGAGTTTTCACATGATTCCTTAGGTATGAAGAACAACTGAAGGCTTTCCCACATTCCTCACACTGATATAGTTTGCGACCAGTGTGACTCCTTTTGTGCCTCTTAAGGGATGAACGATGCCTGAAGACTTTTCCACACTGACTGCATTCATACAGTTTTACTCCACTAGGAGTTTTCTTGTACAGCTTAATATTTGGAATACGGCTGACAGTTTCTCCACATGTATTACCTTTGCTACTTTCACAGAGTCTCTCCACTATATGACTTCTGCAAAAAAAGGGGGGGGGAGCACAATATTAATGGTTTGTGTATTCATAATTTATTAATATTTGTTAATGAGTGCTAGGATTATATTTCTACCATTTTCTGTATAAATGTAGGCTTTCTTTTTCTGAAGATTTTATTGATTTATTTGAGAGAGAGAGAGAACCATAGTGGGGAGGGGCAGAGAGAGAAAGAGAAGCAGACTCCCTGCTGAGCAGGGAGCCTGATGTGAGGCTCGATGCCAGGACCCCGGGATTATGATCTGAGCCAAAGGCAGATGCTTAACCAACTGAGCCACCCAGGTGCCCCATAAATGTAGGTTTTCTGTCCTGTTTGAATTATTTCAAAGTGTAATAAACTAGCTGCTTTGGGAATGGGCTTAAAGCATAGCTCATTACTACAACAGTGTTTCTCATATAGAGTTCCCTGATCATTGTTTCCCACTGAACAATCTTTCAAATGCTCAATGTCTGAGTCACATGAAGGAAAAAAAGGGGAAACAGAATAAACAAATCTGGAACAAGGTTTATCAGTTTTTTGTTTTTTAATTTCATGAAGTAGTAAGATTCTCTACTGGGATACTGTGTTTTCTCCTAAGTGCAACTCACCTCAAATGTCTCCACTCATTGTTGTGCTTATCTTCAATGCACTGGTCTTCCCAATTTTCTCCAAAAAGGGAGGTCCAGAAATCATTTTTTGTGAACCTTGCTATTTTCTGTTCAGTGGATAATTTTTCTCCAAAAATATCCTGCTGAGAAATGGACTCATTGGTTTTAAGTTGAGTCTCATCATCTAAAACAAAACAGTGAATAAATCTTATAAGGAAAGCACCTGTGAGCAAAGAAATACATTAGTTCAGCTGTTTTAAAACTTCTTTATTAAGAGGCACAAGAGGTCAAAATGGAGGCGATTTTTTTTAAGATTTTATTTATTTATTTGACAGAGAGAGAGTGCACACGTGCACAAACAGAGGGAGCAGCAGGCAGAGGGAGAGGGAGAAGCAGGCCCCTTGTGGATCAGGGAGCCCAGTGCAGGGACCTGATCCCAGGACCATATCATGACCTGAGCCAAAGGCAGACACAACCAACTGAGCTGCCCAGATGTGATTTAATATGCACAGAAAAACCACAAGATTTCAAACAACAAACTTCTCCATGCCCACAAAGTGACCCATGGATATATACCCAGACTGATGACACTGAAGGACCCTAAGTATTTTAAAGAAGACAGAAAGAAAAACACAGGTTGATATATAGACTTTTACTGTCACAGAAACTGTTAGATTCTAGATCCATGACAGCTGTGATCATGCCTGTTTTATTTATCAGTGTGTTTTCCTTCTTATTCCAAATCTTGAAATAGGCTTAATGAATAAGAAACACTTATTCTCTAAATAACTAAGTGAAGGATTGCTGCCTCCTTACCTACTGAGACCAGGTTCCTGAAGGTTTCCAGCATCACATCTTTGTAGAGCTTCCTCTGAGCAGGATTCAGCAGGGCCCACTCCTCTTGGGTGAAGTCCACAACCACATCCTCGAAGACCACTGAGTCCTAAAACAAACATCATTGTAGGAGAGTGGGCGACACTGACAACACAGGGAAAGTGGACTCAAATTCACAGGAAGTTCAAACAACATTCTTTGGTCTCTTCACATCTAAACTATGTCCACACTCATTTTCTGTATCATTGTCTTTTTTAAAGATTTTATTTATCATTTGAGAGAGTGTGTGCACGAGAGAAAGCACGAGCAGGGGGAGGGAGAAGCAGACTCCCTACTGAGCAAGGAGCCTGATGTGGGGCTTGATCCCAGGACCCTGAGATCATGACCTGAGCCAAAAGCAGACACTTAAACAACCTGAACCACCCAGGTGCCCTCTGTATCACAGTCTTAACACATTAACACATTGAAATTATCTCTCTCTCCATTTTTACTGTGGCCCTTCCTGTATAATCCCTGCCTTTTCACAGAGTCTAGAATAGTCCAAAACACTTGGAGAAATTAGAGAAATGCTATATAAATGAAACAAATACTGCTGTTTTATGACTATCAATTCCTTATGACAAAAATGATTTCATCTCTTTCCTTATTGCCCGCCACATCTCTCAGCACTGCATAAACCACAAGTTCAAATCTTTTTTTTCCCCCAGGGGTGTAAATCATGGAAAAGGCCAGTGTTGCTGCTGCACCATAGTTTTTATTTGATGCTGAGTTATGCTGCACATATGGTTGCCTGAAGAATTTGGACTGAGCTTTTTTTTAAAAAAAAAGGACAGCTAACGTTTTATAATCCTTAACAATGAAAGTGTAATAGACAGTTACACTAGTTCAGGGTATTTGGAAGGGGGGGGCTTGGGGGATGGGTGGGTGGGGAGGTTGTCACTTGTATTTATTGTGACGCTAAATCATTGATAATAAATGTAAAAGGTTGACCACCAAACCGGAATAGAAGTTCCAATAAACAGAGGCTGGAATCAATGGCTATGCTTGTGTCACGAGGAAGTTTTAGAATCTGACGGAAAATAAAGAAATGGACAATGTCTTGGCTGTATTTTTCTTTTGTCCCCTCGGCCCTGGTTTCCCTGCATTTTTTTGTCCCAGCTTTGGGACAGCTTGGAGACTGGGGAAGCTGTAGCAGGGTGACCCCTTGTTAATGGGGAAACAATGAGACACCTGCTTCTTGGGCTTCTTTTGGACTTCACTTCCAAAAGTGGGTGGAGTACCTCCCCAAACTGGGCACTGTGGCTTTGCTTCTGGGCCTCCCATCTTCACCAGAACCTGTGGCTTTGTGGCCTACTTATCCACAGCTGAGAGAGTGAGGTGAGAAGCCAGTGGGTTTTGCCCATCCACTAGCTCTTAACCCCTTCCAGCCTCCACCCCGGAGTGCTAAGTTTTTCTCGGCCAATTTTCAGACTTGGCATCTGCATTGGGTGTCCTTGCTACAGGAGGTATTACAGATGCGGGTTCTAGCACAGATGGAGCTGCCCTGCCAGCTCTGAAATGAACAATTACAAGTTCAAATCTTGATGAGATTCTGATAAACAAAAACACACTGAAGGAGCTTTTCCTTCATTTCCTCTCACCAACACTGAGAGGCCCAAGGTAGAAACCCAACTCACAATGTGGGCCAACTGACCCTTTGTGTTGATGTACTCCATTCGAAATACACAAATCCAACTGGGTGCCGGAAGACATTTTTCTGGAGAAATGCTAATTTTAACTTATATGTGTATTATTTACATATATTATTTATCACAGAATCAGTTGCTACTCTTTCTTACTTTATGTCCCCTTAATTTGAGACAGAAGTGGTATTGAGAAAGAGGAAGACATGAGAATTCAGAAGGCGGGAAGAAGACATTAGAACTTAGACCTTTCCATAATATCCACATTCATAAACCTTGGTGTTGGTGTGCATTAATTTTGAGTTCACCCACATACACACTGAGGTTATAAGATGCCAAAACAGCTCATTCCATCCAAGGCATGCTGTTGCCTTGATCTTGGACTTCCCAGCCTCCGTATCTGTGAGAAATAAATTTCTGTTGTTTATAGGCCACTCTTTGGTATTTTATTATAGCAGCCTGAATGGGCTAAGACACATTGCCAGAGGCTGGAGCAAATTCAGATGGGGAATAACAGTCAAGGATGGTGGAGAGTGATGGGAGGTGGAGCATGTCATCTTGTGGGGAACTAGTCAGATTTGACCCTGTGAGAAATGCAGAACTACTTCAGGCTTTTGCACAGAGGAGTGATGTCCTCTGATAGCTTTAATGACCCATCACTTGTGTTGAGACTAGACTGCAGGGGATGGATGGAATACCTGATAGGAAAATAAAGCCATCGGGGTGCCTGGGTGGCTCAGTCTTAAGCATCTGCCTTCGGCTCAGGTCATGAGCTCAGGGTCCTGGGATTGAGCCCCGCATCGGGCTCCTGCTCCATGGGAAGACTGCTTCTCCCTCTCCCACTCCCCCTGCTGGTGTTCCCTCTCTCGCTGTGTCTCTCTCTGTCAAATAAATAAATAAAATCTTTTAAAAAAAAAAAAGGAAAATAAAGCCATAACCAGGTGAGAAGAAGGTGGGTCAACCTGGGTGCTCACGGTGGAATGTGCAGGGAAAACAGATAAGAGCTACAGATTCCTGATGGACTGAAGTCAGGGCAAGACAGAATGAGGACATTTAATGACTGATCATTTCTCACCATAGAAACTGGAATAATGGAGTTTCCATCAACTGAGATGTAGGAGCCCATATGTGGATTAAGTTCTTGGGGAGAGAAAGAGAAATTCACCATAGAGTATACCAAAATGGGAATAAGAATAAGACATCCAAGTAAATACATGTATAATAATGTTTTTAGGAGGGCGCCTGGGTGGCTCAGTCGTTAAGTGTCCGCCTTCAGCTCAGGTCATGATCCCAGGGTCCTGGGATCGAGCCCTGCATCAGGCTCCCTGCTCCGCGGGAAGCCTGCTTCTCCCTCTCCCACTCCCCGTGCTTGTGTTCCCTCTCTCGCTGTGTCTCTGTCAAATAAATAAAAACTTAAAAAAATAATGTTTTCAGGAGCACTGGTCATAATGGCAAAAATTTGACAACACCCAAATCACCACTAGTAATAGAGTTAATAAATAATAATTGTATATCCTTACAAGTGAATACAAGAGAGCAGTAAAGTTTAATTAATTATTATTACTCCATAGAAGACCATGAAATAACTTTAAACAAAAGAAGTCCAACATAAAATAGCATATACACTGTGGTTCCATTTACATGCATTATAAAACATCCAAAGTTAGGGTGTCTTTATTTAATGATGCATACACAGGCAGTAAAAGCATGGATAGGACCATCACAGGATTCAAGATATTGGCTACATCTGGAGAGGAGGGAATCACTTCCAGTGGAGTGTCTGAGGTCAAGAACTGTTCTAGATCTAGGGCTGGATTTATTTCATAGGTGTTTATTTTTTATGATTTCCATGAACTGTCCAATATGTCTTACGTACTTTTCTGCATGTATGTTATACTTTACAATGAAACTCTATAATCAACTAATACAATTTACCTGAAATCATCTTAAGAATTATGGAAAGTGATATAGAAAACACATGAAAAAAACTCATACTGTAGGGGAATCAATGGTAAGATGCATAGCCCAATGAAGGGTACAGTTAAAAAAGAACATACAAATGGAGAGAAGTTCATTATTTTCTATCAAAAAAAGTACAAAACTAGCTTCCCATTGCCTCACTCCTAGTCAACACTATATTAGAGACCTAATCCAGTGCCACCCGAAAATAAACAAATATGCAGAATTACAAAAGAATAGAAAGATCATTGTTATCCTTAGCACTAACAAGCATATGCATAGGACCAAAACAGAACAAAAAGAACCAAAAAGATTTAGTAAGATTCTAAAATAAAAACACAAGATGAAAATAAAACTCATTACCTTTCCATTTAATAACAACATTAAGTTGGAAAACTCACATTAAAAACTGAACATGACTGTATGGCAATATGAGGTACCCTGTGGACCTGCTCCCCAGTGAAACTGGTGAAATTACTTTTAAAACCATCATTTCAAGCCTCTGGAAATAGTCCTGAGGGCATACAGCTGAGGAACCAGTTATTCAAGAAACTCTATGAGAATTCATTAAGAAAAGTTGACAGTCTGGTATTTGAACCAAGACTACTCTCTCTCCCTAGACTTCTTTTTCAGACTGTAGCCAAAAGCACGGGCTCCCCGTCCGCATGGCTCCTAGCCAGACAAGGAGGATGTCAGCATTTCTCATCCTGCCCCAGTTAGTTGTTACTGAGTTTAAGCTCTAAGCAAGAGCAATTGACAGGTGAGGGCTCTCTACTTACACCAGCCCCCACTTGTGGAATGTGGGATCTACAGCAGGTATAGGGTTGATGAGAATACTGGGGACCTGACTGCTCTTGTTATGCCTCATAAGGCAGAGGTTCCACATCCAAGAGAGGCAAGCTGAGAAGACATCAGGCACCTGCCCTTCCTCCACTTAATGCTCAGCTCTTAAAGTGGGGTGTCACTCAGAAAGAAGTATACCATTGTCCCCATCTCACTGCAGTTCCCTGGCTCAGAGATTTTGACAAGGAGGAAAAGCAGGCTGTAAAAGAGATAGCTCCTGGCCTTTTGCCAAAGAACTGACTTCATTTACAACAGAAGATGCAGAATCCTAAGCCCAAGGGTGCTCTCAAAAACAGTGCAAGTTGTAGTGAAAGGCAACAAGGAAGAGATTCAGGACACAGGCAAAATTGTAGTCCACCTTGTTTGCAGGGGAGAAGCAGGGAAAGAGGAGGGTGGGAGGAAACCTCCAAGGGTCTGAACAACTAACAAACATTGACCTGTGAAACTATTCCTTCAAAGGAGTCCAAATTTGACTGGATTAGTCTATAGAGCAATGTATGCACCACAGCAGGTTCAAAACAATAAAGCAGTCGGCTGACAATTAGTGGAGCTTAAGAGCACTGAAGGGGTTGGGAGGAGAATGAAATAGATTTGACTAACATAATCCAGCCAGTCACCAAGCAGA